AAAAAAAAAAAAAAAAAAGTTTCACGGACTTTCCGGCCTGGGCTGGCAGTTCACTACAATCCTCATATCTCAGCTTCATGAGTAGCTAGGACCTTCAGAGTTACTATGATTATAGGCATGAGCCATTGGTGCCCCACATTACTTAACTTACATGAGCTTCAATTTCCTGATCTGTGAGAATGATTAAAAAACAAACACAAAGCCGGGCGCTGGTGGCTCACGCCTGTAATCCTAGCTACTCAGGAAGCTGAGATCTGAGGATCGAGGTTCAAAGCCAGCCCGGGCAGGAGAGACTGTGAGACTCCTATCTCCAATAAACCACCAGAAAACTGGAAGTGGCGCTGTAGCTCAAGTGGTAGAGCGCTGGCCTTGAGCTGAAGAGCTGAGGGACAGCGCCCAGGCCCAGAGTTCAAGTCCCACGACTGACAAAAAAAACAAACAAACAAACACAAAAGTAAGCTAGGCACCAGTGGCTCGTGCCTGTAATCCCAGCTACTCAGGAGGCTGAGATCTAAGGATCACAGTTCAAAGCCAGTCCACACAGGCAAGTCTGTGAGACTCTTCAATTAACCAGAAAACCGGAAGTGGCACTGTGGCTCAAGCAGTAGAGCATTCGCCTTGAGCTGAAGAGCTCAGGGACAATGTCCAGACCAAGTTCAAGCCCTGCCACTAACCAAAACAAAAAAAGATTTTTTTATCTGTGTGCAATTAACAGCCTTTTCTAGTTGGGTGTTTCATGCAAATCAGCAAAAAAGTGAGAAGTCGAATCTTATTGTTTATTAAATGCATTCTACAGGTATAGATCTTGCTAAGTGGTTCAGCTGAACTGGCTCAAACCCAAGAAGCAGGTACTATTATTAGCCTTGTTTTGACAGATGGCAAAACTGAGACTCAAGAGAGGTGAAGTAATTTGACCAAATTATATATCAAGGATTTGGCAATGACTGAAATTTAGATCCAAAAAATTGCAGGCCTTGGCCCACTATGGGAGTGTTTTGCAAAGCAAGGCATTCAGTACCGGGCTGGTTTGCAAACTTGCCAATTCACAACAGGTAAACATAGAAACAGAGTGAGCTTTAGCAACTAGCAACTTTGAGTAATAAAAAGAAATGAGCTTATATTTGGTATGTTTCCGAACGCGGAGCTGTGGCTCAAGTGGTAGAGTGCTGGCCTTGAGCAAAAAAGCCAAGCGACATCCTCCAGACCCTGAGTTCAAGCCCAGTATTGGCACAAAGAGATGAAAAGAAATCAGATGGTCAATGGGCAGAGGCTGCCTGGGTGGGACTCATGTGGTCAGGGATATAGGGGCTCACAAGATCTCTAGGAGAATATATACTGGTTCTCCATTTTCCTTTGGCTTACTAAACTAAGAATCTAACCACAAGGTCTTTGGACTTAACAATCCCCACTGCCCAGGTTCCTCCCACTGGCTTCCCATGAGTAATCTTTTTATTTTCAATCTGGGTCTTAGCTCAAATATTCTTTCAGCAAGGCCTTGTAGAGCACCCTACATAATCCCTAATCTACTCTGCTTCATGTACCTGTAAAATAACTTCCATAAAGTTAAAAAACCAACAACAAGTCTTTAGAAGCCGGGCGCTGGTGGCTCACGCCTGTAATCCTAGCTACTCGGGAGGCTGAGATGAGAATCATGGTTCAAAGCCAGCCCAGGCAGGAAAGGCTATGGGATATGGGACTCTAATCTCCAATTAACTCCCAGAAAACCGGAAGTCGCTTAAAGTAGTAGAGCATGGGGGGGGGGGGGAAGCTCAGGACAGAGCCCAGGCCGAGTTCAAGCCCCATGATCCACGACAAAACACAACATCTTTTTGGGTGGTGCTGGGACTTAAATTCGATGCAAGCGCTCCACGACTAGAGCCGCATCTCGGTGCTTTTTTTTCTAGCTGTCAATGGTGCTGAAGGCTTCTCAAGAGCAGGGGGCCTCGACTTTTTCGATGACCCCTGTCTCCCAGAACCCAGTCAATACCTGACAGTTCCTACTCCACAATACACGGTTACTGAATGCATGAAAACAAGAGCCTGGAAACATGGTAGTACGGTCCTACACAAAAGAACCTTCTGGCAAGGCGGGCCTCCCGGGCCTCAACCTGCGCTTCTGTGAATGGGGTCCGCGCGGCGCTCGCAGACTGACAGCACCGGAAGCCATTCGGGGAGGACCTTCGGAGGGCGGGGACCGGACGGTGGGCCGCGGCCAGCCGCGTCACGTCCGCCAAGGTTACCTGTGGGGCTGGGTGCGAAGCGCACTCGTACCGCGACCCCGGCATCGATGCCCAGGCTCGCTTCCCGCCGTCCCACGACGCGGCTCGAAGCCGCTAGGGCCGTCTGGGGCCCCAGCAGCTTCTGCAGGAGCGCCGCCATGTGGAGCCGGATCGCACACGTGAGGCTTCTTCGCTGCGACACTTCCGGGAGGCTCCTTGCAGCCAATCCGCTTTCGCCACAGCGCGTTCAGCCCCGCCCCTTAAAGTCGCAGGTGTCTGAGCGGGAAAAAAAAAAAAAAAGCTCACGCCCCCTGTGGAAGGCCGCGGCCGCGCCGCGCCGCGGAGAGGCAAAGGCCGGCGGGCGGAGCGACTGCCCCGGGCCCGCCCCCCCTCGACGCCCGGGAAAAGCTCAAGCGTGGCAGGGCCCGGCCGGGGCGAGCGAAGGGGGCGGATCTCCATAGAAACATCCACCTGTTTCCGGCCCAGACTCGGCGAGATTAGGGGCTGCTGCGGGGGCCAATCTCAGCCAGCTCGCTTCTTCCCAGCGGCCTCTGCGGGCGCGGTGGGTGTTGTACACAATCATCATGGCGGCGGCCGGGGCCCCGGATGGTGAGTGCGGAGGGGGAGGCGGGCGCCCGGCTGGCACGGAGGCTGCGGGAGC